GTAATCTGGTGCTGCACTGTGCTGGTGCATCAGTGCACTGACCGACTGGGTCGGGGCGGGACGGGACAGACAGCCTCATTTCGGTTATTCGACATCACCACCACCACCACCACCACCATTGGGTGCTCTTGTGCGGACACACGGCAGTGGCCTCACCATCTTTTGACTACTCTACTCCTCACCAGTGATGCACACTCATGTGATGTGGTGAGGCATGCATTGGTGCACTTGCAGCACTCTCTGACAGCACTGGTCCACGTTGACGGTGAATGGAGGCAATGTTGGTTGGTGAATAGGTGTGTTGTGGTGGTGCGTTGGTGGGGCCTTTAGTGTGTCCGTAAGTGCGCAGAATATGCATTATCTGTGGGCTGTGCTTGGTTTTGTCGAGGCCACCACGAGGAGAGGTGTAGGCATGTATTCTCCCACCTCTTCTGTGCGTGGCAACAAATCATATGGTGAAGTGATGAGACTGCTTCATGCTTGGGAGGGACTAGCGAACCTTCGTAGTTGGTTGATTTTTGTGGGATTTACGTATACAACGGACCTGAAAACTATTTACTTTAGAACAATTTGATATCTCAACTGTGTTGATTTTCTTTTTTTTAATGTTATAAGCAATCCTAGTGGGTATCCGTCAAAATACCGATCATAGTTTCACTTCTTTATGTCTCCACCCTACAACATCCATTAATGTGTCAAATGCATTAATACATCTGTCATGGGGTGAATATGAATGAGATTGTGATTGCAGTGGATTGTTATGCATGCATACAAGACTTGGATTACCGTACCTGTGTCCCCTTTTCAATATTTCATTCAAATCCAACTCTCTATCCTTCCACGTGTAGTCATAGGCAGCTGTGAACACATCCGCATCGGGCTACAAAAAGAAGGGGAATGTTTTGTATTACATTTAGACTATTCTACTTATCATCAAATGATGCTCATTTTGATGAAAGATTACGGTTACATTTTTTCCTGAGTTTTGTTGCTAAGTTTAAACCTATGCAATAGACAAAGCGACATGATATGGGCATGCGGATCCTCTCAACTATAAAATGGGATCGACTTTGTCTGCACACGTCTTGGATCGTCCTTTGGTGTTCTGAAGGTTGGAACTAGTGAAACAAAGCACGAGAAGGATCACTTATCTTATGGATGGGGATTTTGAAGAGATTTGCCAACCTTAAAAATGCAGCAAATAAGAACCAATGAAATCCTCGTGTCCGAAATTTTATTAGCCAATCATCTTGAGGTGTGAATGCAAAGTGGAAAATTAGTAGATGTAAACAGTCTCAAAATGTACAAGAGACTGAAATATAAAGAACTTTCTTTTTCTAAGAATCAAATTACTTTTGTTAATTGCCGTTGTAAGTTCTCATCGTTAAAATGGAATCTACAATGTATTCGACTTTGCAGAAATTCTGAAGGCTGAACGTTAATGCGGGTGGGCGGAAGGAGCGGAAGCTTCCGTTTTACAAACATTGAGGTTGACAGAGGTTGGGTAAATAGGCCACTGACCACCAAGATTTTAAATATTGGTGACCGAATACTACTTGCGGTGTTATCAGTAGCGCAATCTTGTCGGTGGTGAATGAAGAATGACGTGACCTTAATATGATTTACTATCAAGGCTTGACCTTCCTGGGGTTATTAAGGAAATTAAAGGCAACTGCAAAAGTGCAGATACATTTGGGGACATAAAATCAACAGTTTCAACGTGTGTTGCTTGTCTTTAATCCCCACAGAATAAGACGAAAGAATGGATTTTTGTTCCCATGTTGCATGATGCTATCCGATAGGTGGGAGACACTCACCACTAGCAGCATAGGAGGCTATGATTTGGAAGCTATCCGAATCATGGAATCCGTGATGGCTACATTTACTTTTAACAGTCGTAGTGACTATCGAGAGAATGAAATCGAGATGCATAGTGGAGCACTGTAGATCATCTGGTGTAGCCAGTTGGAGTTGACTCACTGTATCATCCTTGAAGTCGTTGACTAGAAGTATCTGGCAGCGTTGACAAGTAAGTAGGGATTGGCTGTGCATGAGGATTGAATAAATCAAACGACTAATGTCTGATTGGTCGGAGAATATTAGACGCGCCAGTTCTAGGAGGACCTAAGGAGGAGAAAAAAAAGGGTTAACTTTAAGCCCTCCCAATTATCTTCAGCAAAGATAACAAGAACATTCCACATAAACCCTACAAATTTAGGTGGAGATGGTGGAAAAGAGAACGAGTAGAAGAATAAAATGGATAGCTAATCCAATTGTCAGTCATTTGCAAGGTTCCAAACGTGCTTGCCTACGAATGTTACTTTTATTTTGCATTTGCACCATAAAGTAAAATGCTGATGTGATGATTGAAAAGAATTTCATGTCAACATTTTATTAGCTTCGGTAAAAAAGTGGCGGACCAGTTCACTCCAATCCATTCCCCTCTGAGCGCCGTTCACCAGAGTGACAGGTGACATCCCTGATGACCGTGCATGTGCATGCGTGCGTGGGTGAAATGAGCGGATGCGCACGCACGAGTGGAGGTGTGGAAGGCGCAGTTTTATGTCGGTGGAGCAAAAATTATACCCACTAAAATGCACAACACGGCAAAACTTCCACATCTAGTCCGATGTCTATGCGGCCATGGGATTTGAATTCGGGTGTCTGTTATGCGCCTTTCAATGCCTCCCTCCGTCTCACAGATATTGAGGCAACTTGTTTGCACCACCCACACACACACACTCACTACACACACCTAACAAAATCACTTTAGGGACAGGGCAAAGGTCGTTCTATCTCCTCCGCGTCCTGTCGGCGTAGTTGACCGAACCATGGTGCATCATTGCAACGATGAAGGCAGACTGTCTGAGACGAAGTTTATGAGGTCTGCGAGCCCTTAAATAACCCTTAAGTTGCACGAAGGAGTGAAAAAGACGATCATGCCGGAGAATCAGACGTCTGCATGTTTTGAACCAACCAATGAAAGCGTAGATGGGAGGGTACACGCATTTGGATACATAATTTAGTGAGCTAAAAGACTATTCGTATCAAATTCGTGCTTAAAAATAAACAACACTAGAAGATCGTGGAAGTTGACAACACTTTTCTTTCTGCTACTTTCAAAGTGAATGCAAAACAACTGACAAAGGATCACAAAGGAGAGACACAAGCAGTGATAGACAG